CAAAAAAACACCTTTTTTCTTTTAATATTTCTTTTCAACTCTTTTTTGTTTTGATTAAACCTCTGCCTTAAACGCTCCAAATCATTTCTCTCTTCCTTTTTTAACAAATCCCATACCCAACTTCACCTCCTCACTCACTCATACATGTCAGTCATCATCGAAATTTTGTCGGCATTGGAGGGACCCAATAACTATCGGTAGAGTTTTCCACTCCATCTATATTAAAGATAATAGTGCCCCCGTCATTTTTCAATTCTAGGTCCGCCTCTGCGTACCTCTAATTATATTTTAAATGACCTAATCTATATATATATATATTATTATAAAAGTGGGAAGCTCTAAATTTGAAAGTTGGATTATCAAAATACACTTTCAAATAATTTAAATACCTTAAATATTATTCAATAAAAATACTTATACTTATTAAGAAAAAAATTAATTTGAAGTGTCTTTTCAGAAAAGTTGTATCCTTTTAGTAAGTAACTAAATATGTTCATTGATAGGTTCAGAAGAGGAAGATTAATATAGCGTGTGTCCAGGAGACTAGGTGGGTTGGATCGAGGGCGAAAAACGTGGATGGGTATAAGTTATGGTACTCTGGAGTCCTGAGGGGTAAGAATGGAGTAGGTATCCTGGTAGATAACCATCTTAGAGATTCGGTGGTGGAGGTCAGGTGGGTGAATGATAGACTAATGACTATTAAATTGGTGGTGGGTGAGTGTACTTTAAATGTCATTAGCGCGTACGCGCCGTAAGTAGGCTTGGATGAGGAGATTAAAAGGCATTTTTGGGAGGGGTTGGATGACATCGTTCGTAGTATTCCGCCTTCGGAGAGGTTATTCATAGGAGGAGATTTCAATGGTCATATTGGGTCATATGCAGTTGGTTATACTGAGGTGCATGGTGGCTTTGGTGTCGGTGAGCGGAACGGAGGGGGCGCTTCGCTGTTGGACTTTGCCAAGGAATTCGATCTAGTGATTGCGAACTCAAGTTTTCCGAAGCGGGATGAGCATCTGGTTACTTACAAAAGTTCGGTGGCGAAGACTCAGATTGACTATCTCCTCATCAGGAGATGCGACAGAAGGTTGTGCGAGGATTGCAAAGTTATACCAGGTGAGACCCTAGCAACACAACATAGGCTTTTGGTGATGGACATTGTTATTAGGATAAGGAGGAAGAAGAGGTCAGTATGAAGCCGTCCGAGGATTAGGTGGGGCGCCTTGACTAAGGATAAAGCTCAGGAGTTGGAAGGAAGGTTATCGGCAATGGGAGCTTGGAGAAGTAGTGGGGACGCAAACACTATGTGGTCGACGACGGCTGATTGTATAAGGAAGGCGGCGAGAGAGGTATTAGGGATATCTTCGGGCCGCACCGGTGGCCACAAAGGAGACTGGCGGTGGAATGCAATTGTCCAAGATAAAGTGAAAGCGAAGAAGGCGGCGTACCTGCAGTTCGTAGGGAGCTCTGGAGAGGAGGAGAAGAGGGCGAACAGTGAGAGATATAAGGTAGCTAGGAAGGAGGCGAAGATGGCAGTAATGGAGGCTAAGACGACAACTTTTGCTCATCTGTATGAGGAACTAGGGAACAAAGGAGGGGAGAAGAAGTTATTCCGACTCGCTAAGGTTAGAGAGAGGACGACTCAGGATCTGGACCAAGTGAGGTGCATAAAAGATGATGACGACATGTTTTGATGGGGGATGACCAGATTAAGAGGAGATGTCAGACCTACTTTCATAAACTTCTAAATAAATAAGGGGATCAGGATATTGTGCTAGGTGAATTGAGGAATGCCAACAACCCCCATAAATTAAGTTATTGTAGGGACATTGAGGTCGATGAGGTCATGGAGGCAATGCGTAAGATGAGGAGGGGCATAGCTACCAGCCAGACGAAATTCCGGTTGAACTTTGGAGGTGTGTGGGTAGAGCAGGCTTGGAATGTCTTACTGGGCTGTTTAATGTTATATTCAAGACTAATAAGATGCCTGAAGAGTGGAGGTGGAGTACAATGGTTCCTCTGTATAAGAACAAAGGTGATGTTCAGAGCTGTAACAACTATATGAGTATCAAATTATTGAGTCATACCATGAAAGTCTGGGAGAGAGTGGTAGAAATGAGAGTGCGAAGGACGGTGTCTATTTCAGATAACCAGTTCGGGTTCATGGGGTGACGATCTACCACAGAAGCTATCCACCTTATTAGGAGGATTATGGAACAATATAGGGATAAAAAAAAGGATCTCCACATGGTGTTTATCGATCTAGAGAAAGCGTACGACATGGTTCCTAGGGAGGTCCTATGGAGATGCCTAAAGGTTAAAGGGGTCCTGGTTGACTACATTAGGGTGATTAAAGACATGTATGATGGAGCTAAGACTTGGGTTAGGACAGTAGGAGGCAACTCCGACCATTTTCCGGTTGTTACGGGGTTGCACCAAGGGTCTGCGTTCAGCCCTTTCCTATTTGCCCTGGTGATGGATGCCATAACACATCATATTTAATGGGAGGTGCCATGGTGCATGCTATTTGCTGATGACATAGTCTTGATTGACGAGACACAACGCGACGTCAATGAGAGGCTAGAGGTTTGGAGACATACCCTTGAGTCTAAAGGTTTCAGGCTAAGCAGGACAAAGACGGAATACCTCGAGTGTAAATTTGGGGTCGAGCCGACGGAAGCAGGAGTAGAAGTGAGGCTCGACTCTCAAGTCATCCCTAAGAGGGGTAGTTTCAAGTATCTTGGGTCAGTTATTCAGGGGACCGGGGAGTTCGACGAGGATGTCACACATCGTATAGGGGTGGGGTGGATGAAGTGGAGGTTAGCAACGGGAGTCTTGTATGACAAGAAAGTACCACCGTTACTAAAAGGTAAGTTTTATAGAGCAGTGGTTACGCCTGCTATGTTGTATGGGATCGAGTGTTGGCCGGTTAAAAATTCACACACCCAGAAGATGAAAATAGCAGAGATGAGGATGCTGAGGTGGATGTGGGGGCATACAAGGATGGATAAGTTTAGGAATGAAGATATTCGAGAGAAGGTGGGTGTGGCCCCCATGGAGGACAAGATGCGGGAAGCAAGACTCAGATGGTTCGGGCACATTCAGAGGATGAGCACTGATGCACCAATGAGGAGGTGTGAGCGACTGACTGTGGTGGGCACGAGGAGAGGTAGAGGGAGACCTAAGAAGTATTTGGGGGAGGTGATCAGGTAGGACATGGCACGACTTAGGATTTCTGAGGACATGGCCCTTGACAGGGAATTATGGAGGTCGGGCATTAAGGTTTTAGGTTAGGGGGAAGTTTGTGAATATTACTACAGCGCACTAGAGGGAGACTAGCCATTTAGGAGTTAGACCTAGGATGCTACTGACCAGCTTCTGATGCAGGGCTGTATCTGTTGGATATTAGTATACCTTACATCCTTTTCGTATTTCCTATATTTCTTATATTGTTGTTATTTTGTTATTTTATGTTATTTACTATGAGTCTATTGATAGTACTAATATATTATCTCTTGTTGCTCTCTTGAACCAAGGGTCTCCTGGAAACAACCTCTCTGCCCCTCGGGGTAGGGATAAGGTCTGCGTACATATTACCCTCCCCAGACCCCACTTGTGAGATTATACTGGGATGTTGTTGTTGTTGTTGTTGTTGTTGTTGTTGTAAATATGTTCATTGATCTTAGTGAAATAGTCATATCTATTTTAAATGTCAATGATACATAAAAGGCTTTAACCGAGCCTTTAGCCATATTTTAAATTCCAATGATGCATAGAACCTTCAACCATATTTGTATATAACCCCTTCTAAAAAATTAGGCTTTTATTCCTTCTACATTATAATCATTTAATTTCTTTAGCCTTCATAAACAACATATAAGGTTGTTCCAATTTTCTTGGGTCTATAAAATAATTTGAGGAAAAAAAGAAATNGAGATGGTCAGTAAGTCATTTTTTTTGTTGTGTTGTGTTCTTCCAGTAAATTTGCATGGACTGTTGAACGAAGTTATCCATGTAGACCATAAATTAAAAAAGAAAAAGAAAAATAGAAAAATTGATGTCCTTTGATAACAAAGGATATACTTGGATATCATCACCCTGTAAATTATTATGTTTGTACGACTTTTATATATTTCGGAACTATTCAAATATTTAATATTATTTTATTTCTTTATTGTGAAGTATAATATGCATTAATTAGCGTTTCCCGTTCAGCATTTTCATAACTGTCTGTATCAAGACTTTGCTAAAAATTGCCCTCAAGCCTTACAACTTAAACTTCACGATAAGTAGGGAATGACAATATTATTTCTAACATGTATATGTTTATAGTTGATGGAACAAGGTGTTCGATCTTGCTATTTGGTACCACATACTCACCGGACCAATGGTTGCACGTATGGCATATAATATCTCAGCATAAATTACTGAAAATTGTTACTGAGTTTCTATTGTTGTATTTTTTCCTTAAACGTTTATTGTGACATTTTATGGTACTATATAATCCTGTGGATTTTTTTTATTCCTGGAAGTGACATATAAAATATGTTTTACTCCAAATAATATTTTTGCCTATAAAAATGCAAAGTCGTCTAAGTGATGAATTAAGAAGAAATTTGTGCGAAAGACACGCTATGACTTTAAAAATAGACAAAATCTCAAATCCTTTAGTAAGAAGGAAATAATAATAATAATAATAATAATAATAATAATAATAATAATAATAATAATAATAACAACAACAACAACAACAACAATCATCGGGTTCTACTGCCGTAGTTTCACTTATTATCTTTTTTATATTATGATTCTATGTGAATTTCTGATGAAGTTCAATATTTATGAATGATAAGGTTGAACATTTTATTAAAGTGAAACAAGCATTTATTCTTGGGTTTATATTATTAATTTGATGTATTGTGCTTATATGAATAACAACGTACTGGGAATAAACCCCGTAAAAATAATATGCACAGTATTAGTGATAAACGCAGAACACTAAGTTATAGTTAAATCAGCAAGAATAGAAATGCAGCAATAATGACACCATGCAGCAATAATGACACCAAGATTTTATGTGGAAACCTTTCCGAATAAGGGAAAAACCACGGCCAAGAAGAGCAACTGATAGCATTATAGCGAGGAATTTTACACTGTGTAGAATGAGTAAAAATACTCCTAAGACCACTACACCCTCAAAAGAAATAAACACTCTTTTGCTTTTTCCACCTCACTATAATATCTCTCACACTCTATTTTTCTTCACAAACTATTTTCTTATAGTTTATGGAATACCTTGCTCTCTCTCTTTTCTCTTTTTTTTTTGGTGTGTAGAAATGAGAGTTAAAGCTCTCCTTTTATAGCCAAAATCTCACTCTCTAAAGCCTACAATATTTGACAATTTGCACACCCTTTTCACAATTTCAACAAGGTTAGCTACCAAACCAAACTAAGTCAATAAAATTGGCTACCAAGTTATACCAATTCAACAAGGTTGACTACCAAACCAAACCAAGTCAACAAAATTGGCTACCAAATCATTTGAATGAGATGGACACCATATCAATCTCCCCCTCCAGTCTCATTCATCTAGAGGAGGTACCACTGTCTTCTAGTCTGAGTGCATGCCGACAAGTTCTTTGCATAGCTCGAACTTGTCTCTTGGTACTACCTTGGTCAACATATCAGCAGGATTTTCACTTGTGTGAATCTTTTTGAACTGAAGTGATTCGTTCTCCACTTGCTCACGAATCCAATGATATCTGACGTCAATGTGTTTTATTCTCGCATGGTACATGGAGTTTTTTCTTAGGTCTATTGCACTCTGACTATCGCAATAGACAACATACTTCATCTGTCGCAATCCAAGTTCTTGAAAAAATCTCTTGAGCCATATCATCTCTTTGCCAGCTTCAGTAGCCGCAATATACTCCGCTTCAGTTGTAGATAGCGGGACACACTTCTGCAACTTCAACTGCCATGTTATAGTTGTCACGACCCCAACCCCGATCGTGATAGCGCCCAACATATTGCTAGACAAACCTGACCAACTATCAACCACAACCCATTTTCTTATAAAGTCCAATATCAGCTAACATAGTTTAATTGTCAAATTAACATAATAAGGTTCTGAAACAACAAGTTAAATATGCGGAAGTCAAAAGATAATACTACTACATAGCCCACACCGATCCGGTGTCACAAGTCTCGAGCCTCTAATACAAGTTCAACAGCCTACTACACAAACAGTCTAGGAATGCGGAATACAATAGAAAGGAAGGGAGAAATCAGGGCTGCGGACGCCATGCAGCTACCTCGATACTCCTAGATAATGCCGATCGACTGGAAAGCTCTCACTCAGCCTCTGGAACACCTGGATCTGCATGCAAGGTGCAGGGAGTAATGTGAGTACTCCGACCCAGTGAGTAATAAGAATAAATAATGACTGAGAGTAAAAAATCATGTATACACAGGATAACCTATAATACGGATGTTAAACAAGTAGTATAAAAGCAATTAACCAATGAAAAGCGGAATGAGATAATTCTACAACAGATAAGCAGTTAAGTGACAGATAGTTAAAGAAAAATAAATACGTAGAACAGTACCAGCCCCTCGAGGTCTCTCTCTCATATCACAACTGGGTACCCGCGCTCACTGGGGGAGTGCAGACTCCGGGAGGGGCCCCTTACGGCCCAAGCGCAATATCAAGCCATCTTATGGCATCAAATCTAGGCCCTCGGCCTCATATCAATATCAGCCACCTCGTGGCGTATGTATATATCTCAGGCCCTTGGCCTCATATCAGTATCATTGTATCCTTACATCTGGCCCTCGGCCATACTCAGTCCAGAAATCACATAAGCCCCTCGGGCATTAGTAAAACAGTAGTCCTCAGCCCAAAACATCATTTTAGTTCCAACACCGAGTAAAAAGTGGCTGAGTTGTAAAACAGTGGAAAACAGTACGATTGAGTTCAAGTAGTAAGTTAACACAGTGAGAAAATAGTGATAAAAATCCTCAGAGGGTTCAAATAGTTGGCGCGTAGCCCAAATATAACAATCAGTCCAAATAACGATGATAACAAATAAGTTTCAATCAAATACGCGGTAAAATCATCAATCGGTATGGACCAAGTCACATCCACAATAGTAAACGACCCCACGCTCATCATCAAGAGTGTGTCTCACCTCAATATAGCACTACGATGTGCAAATCCGGGGTTTCAAACCCTTAGGACATCATTTACATTCATTACTCACCTCAAACCGGATAAATCTCTAGCTCGCGACACCTTTGCCTCTCAAATCGGCCTCCTCGCCCGTCAAATCTAACCAAAACCAAACGAATACATCACAATATGCTAAGGGAACAAAGCTCAAGCAAAAACTATTAAAAAATATAAAAAAACCTGAAATTAGCAAAACCCGAGCCCCGGGCCCACTTCTCGAAACTCAGAAATTTTCACATCATTAGATTCCTTATCTTCCCATGAGTTCATACATATCAAAAACACCAGAATCGGAGTTCAATTGACCCCTCAAATCCTTAATTTAAGCCCTCTTAAACTCAAGCCCTAAACCTCCATCTTTAGTCCATTAATTCCTTAAATTTCAGTCCTAATTCATGAAATACCACCATAGAAGTGTGTTTTAAGTCCAAAATCCTTACTTTATCGAAGTTCCCTTGAAATCTCTCTTCAAAATTTTCTAAGTCCGAAGTTAAAAATGGTTAAACCCTTCAAAAATCATGAAGAAGAAACATATATACCTTCTGCCCAGACATAACCGCATCTGCGGTCAAATAGCCGCTTCTGCGGTCATATCTTCGCATCTACGAACTTTCACTTAATGGACCAACACCGCATTTGCGGTCCACTCGCCGCTTCTGCGGCTCCGCAGGTGCGGCCCCCCTTCCGCATCTGCGGTTCCAGGCCTTCCTCAGCCTTTCTGCTTATGCGATCCAATCAACGCATCTGCGATACCGCATCTGCGATCCCCAAACCGCAGGTGTGAAAACACCAGAAGCAGCAGAAAAATCTGCAATCCCTCAAGTTCCAAACTTCCCGTTAGCCATTCGAAATCACCCCGAGGCCCCCGGGACCTCAACCAAAAGCACCAACACAACCCAATACCTTATTCAAATTTGTTCCAATCATCAAAACACCTCAAACAATGCCAAATCCATCAATTCACATCGAATTCAAGCCTAAGTTTTCTAAAAACTTCCGAAATACGTTTTCGATCAAAAACCCAACCAAACCACGTCCAAATGACCTAAAATTTTTGCACACACATACCAAATGACATAACGAAGCTACAGTAACTCTCGAAATTCCATTCCGACCCTCGGATCAAAATCTCACCAACTAATCGAAAATCGCCAAAATACTAACTTCGCCAATTCAAGCCTAATTCTACTCCGGACCTCCAAAACCAATTCCGATCACACTAATAATTCATAAATCACCTTCCGAAGCTAACCGAACCATCGGAACTCACATCCGAGCCCTCTAACATATAAGTCAACATCTGGTTGACTTTTCCAACTTATACCTTCTTAAAAGAGACTAAGTGTCTCATTTCTTACCAAATCCACTCCGAACGCAAACTACTCAATTTGATCATATAAAACACAGATAACGAAGTATAATGAAGCATAAATGGGAAAACAGAGCGGTAACTCATGAGACGACTGGCCGGGTCGTCACAATAGCTCCCCCTGAAAAAGTAAACAAATATCCAGTAGTGGATTTTCTGTTATCAAGGTCACCTGCCATATCAGAATCTGTATAGCCCTTCAAAGTTGGATTTGATCCTCCAAAACATAAGCATTCATGAGAGCTTCCTCTTAGATACCTGAGTATCCACTTTATAGCTTCCAATGCTCTTTTCCTGGATTTTCGAGAAATCTGCTAACAACACCGACTGCATGAGCAATATCTGTTCGAGTGCATACTTACATCAAACTTCCGACAGTAGAGGAATAAGGAATCTTGGCCATTCTCTCTTTTTCCTCCGTTGTTGTAGGATACATCTTCTTACTCAACTTCAGATGACCAGGAAGGGGTGTGCGAACCAACTTAGCACTTTTCATATTGAAGCGCTCCAGTACACGTTTACTTCTCCTATGACAAGTAAAGCTTTCTTTTGTTTCTCGACCGAGTAATTCTCATGCCCAAAATCTGCTTAGCATAACCAAAGTCTTTCATTGCAAAAGACTTATTCAACTATTTCTTCAACTCGTCAATCTTGGAAGCATTCCTTCCTACAATCAACATATCATTCACACATAGCAAGAGGATGATAAAATCATCATCAGAAACTCTTTGTAGAAACACATAATGATCTGAAGAAGTCTTCTTGTAGCCTTGCTCCCCCATAACAGACTCAAACATCTTGTACCACTGTCTGGGAGCTTGCTTCAATCCATATATACTCTTCTTAAGTTTGCATACAAGATTTTCTTTACCTTTTGCCTTGAAGCCTTCAGGTTGTTCCATATAAATCTCCATGAAGAAAATCAGTCTTCACATCCATCTGCTCAATCTCCAAATCAAGACTGGCAGTCAAACCAAGAACTGTACGAATGGAGGACATTTTCACGACAGGAGAAAATATTTCGTGAAAGTCAATACCTTTCCTTTGACCAAATCCCTTGACAACCAATCTATCTTTGTATTTTGGCTTCAAACTATGTTCTTCAGCTTTAACTTTGAACACCCACTTGTTCTTCAAAGCTCTCATGTCCTTAGGCAATTTAACCAACTCAAAAGTATGGTTCTCATGCAGAGATTTCATCTCATCTTGCATGGTTTAAACCCATTGATCATTGTGCTCATATTCTATGGCCTCCGCATAACATTCAGGTTCTCCCCCATCAGTGAGTAATACATACTCATTGGGTGAATAACGGGAGGAAGGAGTACGTGGTCTAGAGGACCTCCTAAGTGGAATATCTAGCTCGTCCACAGCTTCGTGAGTACGAATATATACCTCATCAACATTAGCATTGTTATCACCATCACCATCAATATGCTGATCTGGAATATGGTTCTGGGCATCACCATCATCATTGAGCCCACCAACGTCATCCACATTTGTATGAGTAACTTGATCAAGATTAACTAAACCTTCAGAACTTGGAGATTTTAGCTTCTCCGCTTTGTTAATATCTTCAATGGTTTGATCCTCCACGAAGATAACATCACGGCTTCTCATGACCTTCTTCTCAATTGGATCATATAGCCTGTAACCAAACTCATCAAGGCCATAACCAATGAAGATGCACTGCCTTGTCTTGGCAGTTAATTTTGACCTCTCATCTTTAGGCACATGTACAAAAGCTTTGCAACCAAACACTTTCAAGTGGTCATAGGAAACATCCTTGCCATACCAAACTTTGTTTGGAACATCACTTTGCAAAGCAACNGTTTGGAACATCACTTTACAAAGCAACCACAGGGGATAGATTAATAACATGTGCGGCGGTCAATAAAGCCTCACCCCAAAAGGAATTCGGCAACTTTGCTTCAGAAAGCAAACATCTGACTCTTTCCATCAAGGTCTTGTTCATCCTTTCTTCTAATCCATTAAGCTGAGGAGTTTTAGGAGGAGTCTTCTGGTGTTTGATACCCTGTTGCTTGCAGTATTCATCAAACAATCCACAATATTCACCACCGTTATCAGTATGAATACACTTCAGCTTCTTTCCAGTTTCTCTTTCAACTGAAGCCTGAAACTGCTTAAAGACACCCAACACTTGGTCTTTAGTCTTCAAGATGTAGACCCAAAGTTTCCTTGAGCAATCATCAGTAAAGGTAGCAAAATAAAGTGCACCACCCAAAGCCCTTATCTTCATTGGACCACATAAATCTGAATGCACCAACTCAAGTAACTCTATATTTCTTGAAGGAGGATGAGACTGGAAAGAAACTCTTTTTTTGTTTTTCAGCCAATCAGTGCTCACATTTTTCTAATTTTGCACTTTCAAAATTCGAAAACAATTTCTTATTGGCCAGAAAATTTAGTCCTTTCTCGCTAATGTGGCTATGCCTCTTATGCCATAACGTTGAAGAGTTATGGCTCTCAACGGCATTCACCATATTAACACAGGTAGAGGCCATAAACCAGTATAGACCACGACGTTTTCCCCCCACTAGCCATAATCATGGAACCCTTAGTGAGCATCCACTTTCCAGCACCATTGGTACTGACATATCCCTCATTATCCAAAATACCAATAGAGATCAAGTGCAAACAAATATCAGGTGCATGTTTTACATTGTTTAAAACTAGTTTAGTTCTAATACTAGTTTCCAAACAAATCGTTCAATACCAGCCACCCTAGATACAGTCTCATTACCCATACTCAAAGTTCCAAAGTCACCCTGTGTATAGGATGAGAAAAATTCCTTCCTTGATGCCATATGGGATGCGGCACCACAGTCCACAACCCAGCTTGACTCATCACAAGCAATATTTATCAGATCTACATCAAGGACGGTAACAAGATCTTCTGTAGTGACGGTGGCCACATGATTGCCATCTTCTTTCTGTTTCTTATCTCTATTCTCCTTTTTCAAAATCCGACAGAACTTCTTTGTGTGCCCTTTCTTCCCGCAATGATAACACTCAATATCTTTAAGTCTGCTTCTGGATCAGCTTCTACTATGTTCTCTATTTTGAGAACCCTGATTCTTGCCTCTCCCCCTAGAGTTAGTCACCAAGACATTTGATGAGGAGGAACCTTGAGATTTCTTCTCATCTCTTCATTTAAAAGGCTGCTCTTGGCAAGATCCATAAAGATCCATAGAGATCACACCATCCAGAACAGAATTTGATAAAGAAGTTCTAAGAATTTCCCAAGAATCTAGTAAGGAACCAAGTAGAAACATGCCTTGAATTTCTTCATCAAATTTAATGCCCATAGCAGATAACTGGTTCATGATCCCCTTAAAATTATTCAAATGATCTTTCATTGCGGAACCATCATGGTATTTTAAACCCAACATCTGCTTTATCATAAACATCTTGTTATTTCCAGTTTTCCGAGCACACAAACTTTCAAGGTTCTCCCATAGGGTCCGAGCATGTGTCTCCCCAGAAATATGGTTCAAAACATTATCGTCAACCTACTGTCTAATAAAGCCGCAAACCTGTCTGTGTACCAGATTCCGCTCTTCATCTGATTTATTATCAGGCTTTATAGTGGCGAAGACAGGTTGATGAAAATTCTTGACATAGAGTAAATCTTCCATTTTGCCATTCCAAATGGCATAATTTGTGCCATTCAAAGTAACCATTCTACTAGTGTTGGCTTTCATCGTTTATCACAAATATAAATACTATGTATTAGGAGACCAAAGTAATTCTTTTCTGATGTGGAAATTCAGACTGTGCTGCAACCACAGAGCATACTCAGACAGAACATTGGCTCTGATACCACTTGTTGGGAATAAACCCCGTAAAAATAATATTCACGGTATTAGTGATAAACGCAGAACACTAATTTATGGTTAAATAAGCAAGAATAGAAATGTAGCAATAATGACACCGAGATTTTACGTGGAAACCCTTCTGAATCCACGGCCAAGAAGAGCAACTGATATCACTATAACGAGAAATTTTACACTGTGTAGTAACGAGTAAAAATACTCCTAAGACCACTACACCCTCAAAAGAAATAAACACTATTTTGTTTTTTCCACCTCACTACAATATCTCTCACACTCTATTTTTCTTCACAAACCATTTTCTTATAGTTTATGGAATACCTTGCGCTATCTCTTTTCTCTCTTTTTTTTGGTGTGTAGAAATGAGAGTTAAAGCTCTCCTTTTATAGCCAAAACCTCACTCTCTAAAGCCTACAATATTTGACAATTTGCACACCCTTTTCACAATTTCAACAAGGTTGGCTACCAAACCAAGCCAAGTCAATAAAATTGGCTACCAAATCATACCAATTCAACAAGGTTGGCTACCAAACCAAGCCAAGTCAACAAAATTGGCTACCAAATCATTTGAATGAGATGGACACCATATCAATNCAATTCAACAAGGTTGGCTACCAAACCAAGCCAAGTCAACAAAATTGGCTACCAAATCATTTGAATGAGATGAACACCATATCACAACGAGCATTAACCCGTTATCATGTACACTTTGGTTTGTTCATCTTTTGCTCTTTTTTCCTTTGTAAATAAAAGGGAATACACAAAAAAAACATATAAAAAAATTAAAATATTCTTAAAAATATTATCTTTACACATGAAATTATCTTTATTTGTTGATTTTGGTTCACGTCACTTTATATTTATTTAAATAAAATAATAGATATGAACGTGTGCCAATCTATTCAAAAGAAATAAGACGTTTAAATGATGTTTTTGCGATTTTCCAAAATCGTGTATACTAAATAATTTGTAATCCACGTGCAAAGCATGTGCAGAAGAACTAATAGTGTAAGAAATACGAACCTTGTAGCATCTTCAATGCCAAACCGAACATCCTCGCATCCCAAACTCCTCGCATATGTCACCATACTTCTAGCTCTCTCAACAACTTCTTCTCTACTCATCTTCAATTTATACTTCATGTGTATATCACTCGTCGCAATAAACGTGTTAAGCATTGGTTTCTTGGCATACTTTATAGCTTCCCAAGCTCTATCAATATCCTTCTTCATAGACCTTGCTAAGCACAAATCACCGGCTCATACCCCTCCGCGTCTACGCAGTTACCTGTTGAGACATAGTATAACTTAATTATTAAAGTAATTAAAAATATTTCTTTTCTTTTTAGGTGAGATGGTCACGCAAACCAACATTGTACCCGAGCAAGAGATCTTTAGTTCAAATTTTTCCTTCATCTTAAAATTTAAAAATATTTCCATCATTTTCTGTAATATATAGTCACACAATTCAACATTACCAACTTCCTGTGCAACCAACTTTATAAGCTCAAAATCAGCGCCAGAGGCAGCTGAAAAACCAGCCTCAATAACATCAACACCAAGCTTAGCCAGCTGACGTGCAATGTCCAGTTTTTCTTTACTAGTCATGGCGGCCCCAGGGGACTACTCTCTGTCGCGAAGAGTTGTATCGAAAATACCAACATAGTTAGGGTCAGAGAATCTTCCTGGCTTGTAATTTGGCCGCGGCCGGCGAATATTTGAGCATCGGACAGTTGTGCTTGTATATGGGCAATGAGAATGTCTTGTGATTGAAGGCATGAAATTAAAGACACTCTGGAGAAGAGTGTTTTTAGAATGTAATGAAACATAAGTGTTTTAGGAAGTCGTAGAATTCGCACACATAGAAGCCATTTTTTCTTCTTTTTGCAGAAAATGCCAACAAGAAAAGAGAGTGTTTATTATGGTGGATTCGAACACCAAGAAAGTGGTAATAAGATTGGGGTATATGTACATAACTAATATTTCGTAAAAAGAAATTTTTGGGACGTCCTAAGCTAACAATAGAACCTGGACTAGATCATTAAAATTTCTGGTAAAAAGAAATTAAACTTTTGGTCCTAAGCTAAAGGAGAAATGGACCATCTACGTACTGTTAAGTCATACTCCCTCCGTTTCACTTGATGGCATAATGTTTTCTTTTTAGTCACTATATATCAAATAAAAGGATAATTTTCTAATTTTAGAAACAATTTCATTTAGCACTTTTTATTTCACTCTTAATAAAATAATTTATGGCCACTTAAATATCTATTACTTATTTTAGACTCCATGTTTAAAATTCTTTTTTCTTCTTTTAAACTCCATGTCTATTCAAATTTTGTCATGTGAAATGAAAAGAGCATGTCAATTATGTGTCACCGAAGCACACGTGACAGAAAATTTTAATTAGATTTACAGATACAAAGAAAATCGCTCGTTCAGACATTTTGATATTTCATTTAAGCGAAACCCACCTCAAAGCTGAGAAAATACGTTTCACTCTAATGTGTCAATAATTTTTTATTTTTTATTTTTGTTAATCATTTCTCTATTCGGTTGTGGAATCTTTATTCAAAATATCTGGTCAGATTTACGTTTTGCTTTTTGTGACCAATATAGATAGCTTATATATTGATTATATACGATTATCCAAATTATACGTATATTATATTTTCGAATGTTATTTTTTGGTTAAATAGTAAAATAGATATATTCATGAGGGCGGATGAACAATGTAATATCCTCATGTGCAAAAGTTTGGTATACCAAACTCAAATGACACCTTTTTGCACATCAATATTCAACGAATATTCCTTTTGAATAAACAGAAAAAGAATTAACTCAAATGGTCGTCCATCTATTTTCTTAAACTATAAAAATAACTGACACATCGATGTAATTAGTGTGTGAATCACAGGTCATCCCCAAGAGCGGTATTTTTAAGTTACCTTGGATCGGTTATCCAGGGAGATGGGAAGATCGATGAGGATGTCATACACCATATATGAGTGGGGTGGATCAGAGGCGGATCTAGGATTTAGACCCTATGGGTTCAACTTTCAAAAATTTTAGCATTAAACCCATTATATTTTTAGTTATGGGTTCATATATACTATTTTTGCAATTTTAATGAATTTTTACATATAAAATTTTACTCCGCGTCTAAAGTAATGGGTTCAATTGAACCCGCCCGGTATATGCTAGATCCGCCCCTGGGGTGGATGAAGTGGAGGTTAGCGTCTGGTGTCCTGTGTGACAAGAAAGTGCCACCAATACTCAAAGGTAAGTTTTATAGAGTGGTGGTTAGACCGACCATGTTGTATAGGGCTGAGTGTTGGCCAGTTAAGAACTCACATATACAGAAGAAGAAAATAACATAAATGAGGATGTTGAGGTGGATGTGCGAGAACACTTGTAGACATGTGATTTTTGACCCTCCCCAAGATTTTTCATATATTAATGTAATATTTAATTTAGGCATAATATAGATATTTTAAGTAATTTTGACTCTTTTACTCTATTTTATTACAAGAAAACAAAAATTTACAAAAATAGGTTCATTAATGTTTTGTAGTCATTTTTAATCTAAAAAAATATATATACAAAAAATAGTATCGTATTTCTATTTTAATATGATATTTGAAATACCAAAATAGATTTGTTTTAATGATTAGTTTTATTTTAATAATTATTTGAATAGTAGGACTAATTAATAATTGAGATCGTATTTTTAGTCTTATTCGCGGGAAAAGGATAGAACTTGGGCTCGAGCAACCCATTTTTAGGCCTAATTTTGGACCTACCCTACAATTTCCAAGCCCATAATTCCTAGGCCCATACCTCTTAACCTAAAAACCCTACAAAAAAAAACCTAAACTCTATATAAAAAAGAAGGCACAAAACAAAAGAGGAGGAGCCAAACTCAAAAAATCGGACCTTAGGAGACCCCCACCCCCACGTCGTCTTCTTCTCCAAGAGAAACAACCTGGACCTAATTTCTGAGACCTTTTCAGCAGTCATGTCCCTTGATTTGAAGAAGGATTTCTGACTTTTCATTTAGAAAGAACAAAAATAGTAGCCCCTTTGAATTCTTAAACAAAAGGAAAGGAGAACGACACCCCCGATTCCAAAAAAGAAATACAGCCGCAACTCAGCCCCAAAACTCATGCTCCTCCGCGTCTTGTAGCTCGAAAAACCCAGATGAAGCATCATCCTTTCATTACCCAAAGACTCCCTAAACTCCACTGAAACTCAGCTCCAAAGCTCAGCAAAATCCAACTGAAAAAAGAGAAGCAAAACCAGCTCAAAAAATAGCCGAAAATAACCTCAAAATCAGCTGGAGCTAAGCCTCGTCGTTTTGGCGTGGTTTGGGTCTTCCGGCGAGCTTCGAGGCCGTCTGAGAGGTGGTTCTGATGTCGTTCGAGGGGCTGAGGTCGTTAGAAAATGTTCCGGTCTCGAGTTGTCTAATTTCCGAGTTGGTTGTAGCTTTGGCTCAAATTCAATAGAAAGATTTGCCTTAGCAATATTGAAGTAAGTTTATTGCTTTGAGGTTCATTCTTAGCTTCTTCTTTTCTTCAAGTTTTATTAGCTTATATGTTTATAAGATTTTGTTTGGTTGCTGCTGAGTTGACAATTTTTATGGCTTCTTTTGTTAAAATTTTCCAACATAAGCTTCAGTGGTTTACATAAACTCATAAATTTGGTTCAACTGTGTTATGTGAAATTTGTCATGCCGTTTTGTTTGTTACAATTGCCTGGGTGTAAATTATGTTGCTTTAACCCTATTATTTTTTTTGTATCCGTCACATTGAGTTGTGTGAGATATTGGTACTAATATTTGTAACCGGGTCTATTAAGCTGATGAACCAAGTATTATGGCATTTTCTGCTGGTAAATTGGCCTGCTGTGTTTGATGAATGTTACTTAAAATATTTTGGATAGAGTCTTGTTAATAAATTTGGTTCGGTTACGTGTTAGATACTATTGTTAGGTTAGTGTATTAGTCGTTTCTTTAAGTTCTCTTAGCTACCGTATGAATGAATTTTAATGTTGAAAAAGAATATTGAGATATACTTAGTAATTTATAAATAATAACTAAAATAGTACACTCCAAATAATTTCATAATTGATGACTTCGTAATAATCTCAAAGTAGTTTTAGGAAGAAACAATTAAATTATGAACTTTGTAGCTTGCTTTAGGCGCGTAATTTAAAATTACCTTCCTAAACTCGGGTGTGCATTTCATGTGACCCAAATCTAAATCTTAACAACATTAAATAAAATGTGTCTCGAACTGCGGGTGCATTTCATGTGGCGTGGTCCAAAGACGTGTTTTAGTTGACGTTGACATTTTCCATAAAATGAATAAAAGCGGTTTAAAGCTAAAATGGCATCATAGGTTAAAACGTGTTTCTAAAATTAGAAAATTAAGCTGAATATGACAGTTAAGCGATCGTGCTAGAACCACGGAATTCGGGAATGCCTAACACCTTCTCCCGGGTTAACAGAATTCCTTACTCGGATTTCTGGTTCGCGGACTGTTAAATAGAGTCAATTTTTCCTCGATTCGGGTTTTAAAACCGGTGATTTGGGACACCATAAATTATCCCAAGTGGCGACTCTGAATCTTTAAATAAACAAATCCCATTTCGATTGTCCTTTAATTGAAAAAACTCCCTTGTATTTATACCCTTTACGGGGTGTAGTGAAAAGGGAGGTGTGATAGCTTTGGCGACTCTGCTGGGGACTCGAACCTAGAATCTCTGGTTCAGGGTTCGAGAATTCGAGCTTAGAATAATTGTTATAGTTGGCTTTATCCAATCTGATTTTGTTACATGATTTGGGTCTTATGTGCTAATTGATTGCTTTTACCGCTTTGATATTCCCGTGAACTGTATATAAACTGTTGCGAAATCCCTCTTCTCTCTAAGTTTTCTATATCATGAAGAAGTGTGCACTTCGTGTGACTTCTTTTCTGTTAGAGTCATATCCCAAATTTAGAACAAGGTTCAGACAAGTTGCAAAGCCAGTGAAGCTTCTGTATTCCCGGTGCGCTACCCCTCCTCGGCTCGAGCTGTCCGCTCGGGTAAGCCAGGTCTAGAACAATAAACCCAGGTTTTGAACCTAGTATAACAAGACCTCATGCTGGATTCCTAGTAGGAACGTTTGCTTGCATCATGTGCATTTGGCTTTATGGACTCAACATAGGGGTTGGGTCCGTCTAGGACAGGTGCACCCGAAATAAAAGACCATCCTGATGCATCCTACTTGCTACTTGTGCAATTATTTGCTTCGGACTTGCGTGCTGATCGACTTATGAATATTGGGAAAAGTTGAGGAAAGAGAAATAGCAGTATGAGGGTTGAAGAGAGTTGATCCCCTCTTTTTTTTTTTTTTAAAAAAACAATGTCCAAATAGTGTCGAAACCCTGCCGAATTTTTGAGAAAATAAAAACAAAAAAAAGAGGAAAAAAAAGTTGGTGTTTTCAAAATTAGTTTTATGTGCCAATGAAATTAAAGAAAAAAATAGTTTGTTTTATTTGCCCAGACTACGCCAGTTTGATTCTCACAGGGTGTGAGATACGTAGGCAACCCCCATCGGGTCCAACTTCCTTTTTGCGAAAGTAGTCAAAAGAACAAAATTTTACCTTAATAATTAGGGTGATGCTGTTCTTGTCATAAATAGCCGAATGTCCCTAAAAGGGCGCCAGAAGACTATTTTTGCAAGAACAGCCATTTTTGTCGCTTTTAAAGGTTTTGGCTGGTTAGCTGACACGGCCTTAAAATCTTCGTTTTCGAAGTGTTGAGAGGCCGTGTGGGCAAGGCCGGATGTTTTGTGGAAATTTTGAAAAATGGTCATTTCTCTTAAGTCAAAACGAGTCATGGTTTTCTTTTAACTAAAATCACCTTAAT